ACATCTTTATTGCTGTGTGGGTCAGGAGGGGTGGCCAGGCCAGCTGGGGTCCCTTAGGCTGCTGACTGTCATCTTCCCTTTACCCTCAGTCTGCCCCCCTGGGCTCTATGGCCACGGCTGCGCCCAGCCATGCCCCCTCTGCGTGCACAGCAGTGGGCCCTGCCACCACGTCAGTGGCATCTGTGAGTGCCTCCCAGGATTCTCCGGCGCCCTCTGCAACCAAGGTACTGTCTTCAGCGAGCAGGGAGGTGGGAGGTTCTGGGAGGGGAGTGGCAGGGAAGGAAGGGCTGGGGACTTGCGTCACGCTCTGCAGAGGCAGGTCCTTCCCTCCCCAGGGCTCGGGCTGCCTGTATGAGAATGGAGCACCACATGGCTTGACCGTTATGCAGTTAAAGGAACAGGCTGAGGGAGGTTAAATGACTTGTTTATGATCTCACAGCCAGCAAGTGGGAAAGAGGGCTGAGGTTTACGTGCACTGGCGTGCCGCTAAGCCAGCACTTTGTGGGGAAAAGCCCTCATTGGTAACTTCTGCAGATGTCTATGATATGAATGTTTCTACCATGGCTGAGTTCAGGGTCCCAACGGTTTAACGCCGTTCCCCAAATTCCTGGATATTGAACAATGAGTGAGAAGGTAGAGCTGTCTCTGGCACATGTCATTGTTTATTGCCATCCCTGGCTTGCTTAGGCCAGGGTGGGGTGGATTTGGGCAAAGGCTCCCCGGACTGTGCAGGACTTCAGCTGGGCCTTGGCTTGAAAGGCAGAGAAGGACGAAAAGCACTCTGGGTAGAGGAAACAGCTTGGGCAAAGCACAGAGACATGGGTGTGCTGCCATCCAGCGAGAGGGGACAGCTGAAGGACACAGTGGCGGGGCGGGGGGTGGGAAAGAGGGCTGAGCAGGTAAGCTGGGGCCTTCAGAACAGATTTGAACACAAGGTACCGAATTTGCACCTTAGTCAGTAAGGAATGAAGGGATCTTAGGATACATTAAACTTAGAGCTAAAAGCAACTTCAAGGTCATCTAGGCAAGAATCTCATCTGGACTCTGCTTAAATACTTCTATCGACTGAGAGCTCACTACCTCTCCGGGGAAGCCATTCTTCTGATGAATAATCACTGCTGAGCGGGGCTGTTTTTGCAAGTGTGTGGGCTGTTAATATGCGTGAGTGGAAAGTTTACTACATGATGCTTTGAGGTCATGAGAAGTTTGGGCCCCAGGGAAACGGATGTGACAGTTTCATTTACTTGCAGCCCTCCTAGGACAGTTTAATCATAACCTGACACGTGGAGGTTACTTATTAAACATAGGAGACCCAGCCGTCAAAACAGATAGACCGGGTCTAAATTAGGACCTAAGCAGCCTGAAGAGTAACTCCCGGAGCCTGTGTTGTCTGATTTATCACCCAGTGGCCTAATGAGTATTTCCCACCTATAGATCTAATAGAGTTTGCTATTAATGGCAACTGCCCTGGTTAAGTCTCAAACCTTGTGAAAAATTGAACTGATACTTTCTAATGACTAGCTCTCCAGCGAGTTACAAATTACAGACACTGCTTATGTAGAATCATTAAACATAGATTAAATATAACCAGATGTTTTCTTTTCACCAGCACCCCCTTCTCTCCACCGCCCCTCTCTTTGCTCACTCTGGATTCAGCTAAGAACCCGACCAATTAATGTATTAGACTGATCGCATTAGCAGCTCTGTGGGCAAATTTGCTGGCCTTGTGTGCGCGAGAAAGACTTAAAGACAAGACTGTCTTGTTAGAGAAGCTCATGGTTTGTTTTAGGGACGGGGGTTAGGGGAGCAACTCCAGTACCGCACTCCTCACAGAAGGCCAGGACTGGGGATGGGTTCCCCAAATCAAGCACCTCCCAGAAGCAGGGAAGAGGGAGAGGGTGGGCAGCCTGCTTTTCAGGAAGCTGGGGCCTGCGCTGCAAACAGGTGAGATGCGTGTCATCCTCTTGGCAGCGGACCTGCCTGGGAAGCAGCTAAGGTTTTTTTCAGGGGAGGCGCAGGGCCCCAAACCAGCTGGCCAGCCGGCCTGCCCACAGCTATTAACCACGGCCCTAGGCTAGTGGATGAGGGTTCCCATCCCCATTTCAAAGATGAGGAAACAGAGACCGAGAGGGGTGATGTGGTTTGCTCAAAGACATTCAGCCTGGTACATGGTAGAACGTCCTAGTTGTGTGACTTTGGGCAAGTTACTTAACCTCTCAGTGCCTCAGTTTCCTCATCTATAAAGGAGAGTTAAGGAGTAATGATGAGAATATTTATATAATAATGACAGTTACAAGATTAAGTGAATATCACCATACCTCATTTTATTGCACTGCACTTTATCGTGCTTCGCAGAGACTGCATTTTTCACAAGCTAAAGGTTTGTGGCAACCCTGCCTCAAGCAAGTCTGTCGATGCCGTTTTTCCAAGAGCACATGCTCATTTCCCGTCACTGTGTCAGCATTTTTAGCAGTATTTTTCCATTAAGGTAAGTAGGTATGGTTTCTTTAGACGTAATGATATTACACACTTAATAGACTACAGTATAGTGTAAACATAACTTTTACGTGCACTAGGAAACCAAAAACTTCACGTGATTTGCTCTATCGCGATATTCTCTTGCGGTGGCCTGGCACCGAAGCCGCAGTATCTCCGAGGTATGCCTGCATCTGGGAAGCACACTGGGCGTCTGGTGCCGTACACACGTTTGCCGAATACGTAAATCAAACTTAGGACCTAAATCCAAAGCTTTGGACCAGACAGTCTGGTCCACCACGCTACCTTTATTATTTGTCCCAACCGCTAATCACATCCAGGAGAGGCACAGAGTAGACGCAGAGCCCAGCCACCAGTGCCCAGTCTGGCTGGGGACGGACTGCCAGTAAGAGGCAGTGTGGTGTCGAGGAGAGAAGGGCCCCGGGGAAGTCTCTCCTTTTCAAGAATCAGCTCCTTCCCATGATCCTCTGTGCTGTTCTCCAGATTTAGACTTTCTTCCGGGGCTGGGGGGGGCTTGAGACTATTCGAGCAGGACACAGGAGCAACGGAGAGAGCAGTGCTTTAGAGGGCTCAAGCTGTAGGAAACAGGTGGGGGATGAACTGCAGGGCAAACAGAGGTGAGTGCTCAATTCATACTCAGGCCTAGCCCTAAAAGAGCTTTGCAGCCTGGCTGAGAAAACCAGCCCTTTCTCCAGGGACCCAGGAGTGACTCCTCCAAGGAGGGTCTGTGACCAAAATCCTCTAAGGGACTCAAAGTAGAAATACTCGTGGTGGCGAGAGCCTTGTGAACCCAGGAGGGCTTTCCTGAGGGGGGACACTGGGCTGAAGCTTAGGAACAGGTCAGAGGACACAGGTGGACAGGGACAGACATTCAGGGCCAGCCCTCCCACAGTCGAACTGCAGACAGACCTGCCACACTGCATTTGTCCCCCTCCTGCTGGCTGTAAACGTTCTCCACCCCCGTGGCTGTGGGATTAGTGATGCTGGCACAAGTGTGGTAACGGAAAGCAGAGGGCCGTGGAGCAGTACAGGGAGCACTGGACTGAGAGTCCAGAAGTGTGATGCCCAGCCTCACCACTTCCCATCTGTGAGACCTAAGTCAAGTCATTCTACCACCATGGGCCTCAGCCTGTTCCTCTGTCAAAGGGGATCGTAACAGAGCCTCCCAAAGGACGCAGCTGTGGGCACGAGAGGGGCGGCTCATTTACGTGCAAATGGAGAAGGCAAGGCGATAGGGGTGCCGAGGTGGGCAGTTCCATTCCGATCCGTGATTCCAGGGTGGTCATGGTTGTGGCCTGGGACCTTCTGGGGGTATAGCTGTGGGTGGTGGACTGAGGAGCACAGGTGGGAGGACAGGTGCCAGGCTGCCCTGTGCCCACAGTGTGTGCTGGAGGACACTTCGGGCAGGACTGTGCCCAGCTCTGCTCCTGTGCCAACAATGGGACCTGCAGCCCCATCGATGGCTCCTGCCAGTGCCTCCCCGGATGGATCGGCAAGGACTGCTCACAGGGTAGGCTGTTGCCCCCTGGGAATGCCCCTCACCCAGGGTTAGGTCTGGAAACTCTTTGCCCTGGCAATTCCATTTTCCAAGGCTGAAATCTCCTTCTGCAGATAGGAATGTCCACCTGCGTCCCATTTAGCTCTTATAGCTACCGCGATGAATTATTGGGATTGATCACTGGTATTATTAGCTGCTGGTATTAAAGGTATTGATATTGTTGATAGTACCGTTAAAGCCATTAATTCTGAGAATTAATACTCCATTAGCACCTGAGCAAGGAGCAGTCTGAATATGGATGGGGAGGAGGAGGGGCAAGGACCACCAAGGTTGAGTTTGGGAATGGCAAAGTGAGGTGTGGCCAAGGCAGTCACCTTGGGAGGAGTGTCGGTGTCCTCTGGGTGGCCCATATAAATGGCGTCCTGAGCATCATAAGCCTGAACAGGGCATTGTAGGGGCTGTTCGTGTAAAGTGCACCCAATTGCAGAGGTAACAGCTCCTTTCCAGGAAGCCCCCAATCTAAGGGCAGAGAACTAGCCAGTACCCTTAGGGAGGTCCTGTTAGATGGGGAGACACAGTCTCCATCCTCAGTGAGCTCACCAGCTGAAAGTGGAGAGAGTCCCCACCCTAGGAAAGTCCCCAGCATCATGGGGACGTCAGCACAGATACCCACTGTAAACCACGTTTACCCACACACTCCAGATCAGAGTCCGGGGACCCCCTGAGAGGGGAGGCTCGGGAGCCCTCAGAGCCATGCTTAGTTACCACAGACTTAAACTGTGGGCCGAGAATCTGGGCCTAATGGGGACCCTAAGGCAAGAGGTGAAGTGTAAGAAGTCTGGGAACGGTTTGTCACGCCCCTGAAAGCCAGGAAATGTCAGCTCAGTCCATCCTGGCATCTTGGCTCTGATGTGTACTCCCCCTTCCTCTCCCTTTCCATCTTCCCTTTCCCCTCTGCATCCCACCCACATCCCAGCTTGCCCCCCCGGGTTCTGGGGCCCCGCCTGCTTCCACACATGCAGCTGCCACAACGGGGCGAGCTGCAGCGCCGAGGACGGGGCCTGCCACTGCACCCCTGGCTGGACCGGACTCTTCTGCACACAGCGTAAGCCCCGCCTCCTGGCCTCCCAGCCACTTGGAATCCCATGCCGCGGCCTACTGGCCACCGTGGGCATCGTCCAGGCCTGTAGGGAGGGAAGACGAAGGGAGTAGACCCCAGGGCTGGGCCCCCCACCCCTGCCCCATGAGAACTGGGGAGCTCTGCAGGGACAGCCCCAGGGCCTGACTGAATTCAAGGGTTTGAGAGGCCCAAAGTCCTGGAAGGTCAGGGCTGTAAGGTACTTCAGTGATCACCAAGGCCAGACCCTCCTTGGACAGAGGGGTCCAGAGTGGGGAGCAGCAGCCTGCGGCCACACAGAAAGGAAACTCTAGCCTGGCCTCTGGTTCCAAGGACCCTTTGTCCAAAGGACTCGCTGGCCCCCGCCCCTTTAGCATGAGGGTCCAGAGCATGGAGACGGCTCTGGTGCAGGGTCTCACTAGTCTTCGCCCCTCAGCAAGAGGGGGCAGAAGGCAGGTCTGGTCCCAGCCACACCTCCACAGCTGTCCTCGCCCAGCAGCAACTCCCGTGACTACAGACCCTGTTTCTCTAGGCTGCCCAGCAGCGTTTTTTGGGAAGGACTGTGGACGCGTGTGCCAGTGTCAGAATGGCGCCAGCTGCGACCACATCGGTGGCAAGTGCACCTGCCGCATAGGCTTCACCGGGCAGCACTGTGAACAGAGTAAGCTGCCCTGACCCGCTGCGTGTCAGTGCCGGGCCTCGGCCTCCCGCGGCGGGAGCCTCCCCTTCCAGGGTCCACTCATTTGGGCTCCACCCCTTGCTCCCTTGACTTTGGGGGAAACCCCAAGGAAGAGGAGTGAAGAAGGTCATGTCTACGTTGGTGCTTGAAGAATGTCTCCCTCCAGATGGAGGAGATGGGAGGGTGTTGAGAGCAAGGCCCGGGAGGCTGGTGAGGGAGTAGAAGGACGCGCAGGATCTTTTCTGGCTCTTCAAAGCCCCTGTGGCACTCAGCTCGGAGCCTGGCACATGGAGGATGCTGCTTAAATGTGTTGCATGGGGATGACGCAGGGGTGAATTGGGCCCTGCCCTCTCCTCCGTGTCCCCCCTCTCAGGGCTATAAGTCCACCCGCAAGTGTCTAACCGAAGCACAACAGGAGCTACAGGGAAATAGGCTGCACTCGGTGTGAGGGAGAACCGGCTTCTCGCCATAGCTGTCCAAACACGGGATGGGACAGGTGGCCAGTGGGTGCATCTCACTGTCTACCCTAACGCTTTGTGCCATGCAGGATGCGCCCCAGGAACCTTTGGCTACGGGTGTCAGCAGCTATGTGAGTGCATGAACAACTCTACCTGTGACCACGTCACTGGCACCTGTTATTGCAGTCCTGGATTCAAAGGAATCAGGTGTGACCAAGGTAATACACAGGTGGCAGAGTCCCTGGGCTCTGTGGAAAGGGACCCATGGAGGATCTGGGGAGATTCCAGCTGGAACAGCTGGGTTTGATGAGGACACTCCCCTTTATTCCCATGTGTGAGGACAGCAGGAATAGGTGGCCGCAGAGGGACAGCAGAGGCTCCCAGCGTGGGACAGGCAGCTGGAGTAGGCGGCCGCTCAGTCGCAGCTTCCCCATGCTCACGCTTGGCAAGTTTCCCATGAGCCAAGCAAGGGTGGCACAAGCTAGTGCTGCGGAAAGGCCACCGGACCAAGTCGGAATATCTGCCAAGTTCTAGTTCTGCCATTACTTGCTAGGTGTCCTTGGGCTGGTCATTTTCTATGGCTGGGCCTCTTACCCCACGTGCAACACGGGAAGAATAGATTAATTGCTGTCTTCCCCCATGACACAAGTTTCCCTTGAGGGCCAAGGAGCCCACAGGGGCTCAACTTTGGTTCTGGTGCTACAGTCAGATGACACGGCATAGGACAGTTGTGAGGATCGAGTTGAGATATGAGTAAAGGACTCAGCACCGTACCTGGCACATAATTGAGCACTCCATAAATGGTGGCCTTGTGTGCATAAAACACTCTTTATGGAGTGCTGCAAACATGAAACGGATGATGCCGTGGCTGGCTCTAGGAGATGGGGAACGAGAATGGGCTCGCAATTACCCACATTATAGCAAAGCAGCCGGCGCTTGCCGAGAAAGAATCACTGGGAATTAGCAGCCCATTTACCTCCCCGATGTTCAGTTCAGCCGGCAGCTGACAGCCAAGGCTGGATGCTGCTGGGCGGCGAGACAGCCCCCGACTTGAGCAGCGGCACGAGGGTCAGTGCACGCATCCATCACCAAGAGGGCTTTGTGGGCAGTGATCCTGGACACAGCGGCACAGCACTCGACTTTTATTGCCAGTCTATCATTAGGTGCTCACAACCCCCCAGGGAGGGTGGGATTATCGTCCCTGTGTCACAAGTGAGCAAACTGGGGACACTGAGTCACACAACTCGTAAGCAGGGAGAGGGGCTGAGTGCAATTTTTCCTGACTCTTGAAGAGCCAGACTCTGCCACTTACTGGCTGTGTGATCCTGGGCAAGTTTCCTCACCTTCTGGTGACTTGGTTTTTCCATCTATGAAAGGGAGATCATTAAATAGTCCCTATTCCATAGGGCGGCTGGGAGGATTAAATGAGTTAGCATCTGTAACTCATTTTTGGAAGTGTAAAATACTCGATGAACATTTTATTTTGTTTCACATCCACAATCACATTTGCTTCTTGTCGTGACCCTGTGACTCCACCCACTTTTAGGCATTTGAAGAAAGGCACAGGTTGGGCGGGGGGCAGGGGTCACACAGGGATTGAGGAACAAGGCCAAGACCAGAACCGGGCTCCTAACGTTAGAGGGGTTAGAGGCATCTGACCGGGCCCAGGAGAGCTGAGGAGCAAGCAGGCCAGCCCCGGGCTCAGGCCTTCCCTCTGCCCACAGCCGCCCTCATGATGGAGGAGCTGAATCCCTACACCAAGATCAGCCCAGCACTGGGTGCAGAGCGGCACTCGGTGGGTGCTGTCACGGGCATCATCCTCCTGTTGTTCCTCATTGTGGTACTGCTGGGCCTGTTTGCCTGGCGACGGCGGAGGCAGAAAGAGAAGGGCCGCGACCTGGCTCCCCGCGTCTCCTACACACCTGCCATGAGGATGAGCAGCACAGACTACTCCCTCTCCGGTAAGGGCCGTGCTCCCAGCATCCCTCCTCTTCCCCCTCCATGCATACCCCCCAGGAAGAGCCACACCGTATCCCTGGGCACACCCGGGTTTATTGCTGACGGTGGGTGATCACGCCTGCGTGGGTTGGGTATGGATGCTCAGTCTCCCCTAGAGTGCCAGTGGGGTGGGAAGCAGGAACCTACCTGGGAAAGGTACATAGGATTCCAAGAGGATGTCATTTCCCGGGCCCCCAGCTCTGGGAGTCTCCTTCCATTTCCCCAGAGCTACACCGTCCTCCTCACCAGGCTTCGGCCACAGCAGCAGCCACACTAAGCAGTGACTTTGCTAAGCTCTCCAGGGAAATGTCACCCCATCCTCATGGCTGTACCACCTTGCTTGGGCACGTCCATTTCTGCTTCGCAGTTCTCAGAGTTACAAAGGCCCCTATTAGTACAGCGACAGCGGGTGGTACCTAACTTGGGGAGGCATGAAACTTTAGACACTGCCACTGTGGCAGGTGGGCCAGAACCCAGTGCGTCCACAAATGTGGTGACAACTCCAGTGGGTGTTCTATCTTGGAGTTAGTGGGGTGGGGCTGCTGGGCCAGATCCTTCTTCTCCCCTAAACTGCTGCCTTGGAAACAAGAAAGGTTTTTTGCTTCATATTTAGCTAAACAACAGAGGCCAAAACGCTCTGAAATTGCCCATAGGCCTGGGCCACGGGAGGCTGGGCCTACTTACGTGAGCACAGGATGATGGCTTTCTCCTGCCAGCTCATGGCTGATCTGCAGCCTCCTGTACTTTGTGCTTAGAAAACCCAGATCACTTCAGCCCATTTCTGCTAAGTATTGCCCACCGTATGCCCTGCTCCACGCTAGGTGCTACAGGACGGACAGAGGCAGCCCCGGGGCAGACCCTGCCTTCAGAGAGCTCCTAGCCTGCATGCCCCCCGGGGCTTCAGCCAAAGCAGACATCCTCTGATGAAATCCCAAGCCCACAGAGGAGATTTGGGGATTTTCTTCTATGATTAGAACACTGCCTTGGTTTGCCTATGCCATTCCTCTGGTATTCCCCAGCCCTGTGGAGAGGTCCTGGAGTCCTCAGGAGGGGACGGGCTGGGCCAAGAGTGGTGTTCTCTTCATGAACTCATTACCGGTATCTGACCCTAGTGGGAAGCAGGAGAGGGCCAGCCCCAAGTAGCAACTGGGACATGCGAGGCTACCAAAGCAAACACGCCTGATCCAGGCTGCAGCTGATGGTGCCGCCTTCTACGCTGGCAAGCCTAACCTGCATCCTGCGTGCTGCAGGGAGGGCCAGCATAAGGGAGGGAGCAAGTCAGGCTCTGCAGATTTCTGTAGGGCCAGTGGATGCCAGAAAGCTTGCAGGGATGGGGTTCTTGGCCTGTCCCTCTCGAGCTGCCCAGCCCAAGCGTTAGTTTTGGAGGTGTCTCATGCCAGAGGCAGCGACATGATGGTATGTGGCACCTTGTTCTCTTCCCAGATTTGTCTCAAAGTAGCAGCCACGCCCAGTGCTTTTCCAATTCCAGCTACCACGCACTGGCGTGCGGGGGGCCTGCCACCAGCCAGGCCAGCACTCTGGACAGGAACAGCCCCACCAAGGTACCGGGCCCCTGACTCCCCAGCCCCCTTCCACCGTCCTTTCATCAGCCCTCACCTCTGCCTAGGAAGGAACTGCACTCCCCGTGGAGGGTCCACGTGGAACCAACCACTAGTACATCAAATGCAGTCCTACGATCCATGGTATACGTAAACACTCTGTAAAGCATGTAATGGAACCAGAACGTTACGTGAAGCCCAGTGCCATGTAACTGGTGGGCATCACAGCATTGCTCAATATAACCCATGCACCCACCGTGTGTAACCAACTGGTACTAAGTCATGTAATCATGTGTAGCCTTGTCGCCTAACAATATGATTAATTTTGCCCCATCAGCATGTAATCAAAACACTATACCACCTGCCACAAATCACTACAGTATGTTACCGACACAATGTATGCAACCAGCACATTACAGAGAAAGTAACTATCGCTCAGGTAACCATGCAATGTCTCTTACATCTGGACATGTACACGATAGACTACATGTCATCAGCACCTACCCATAACCATTTGTTTGCAATCTGAACTAACACAAGGGACGTGAAACCCACGCTTAAGCTGTGGACAGTGAGTTTCGCAGGTCTTCAAGGGTGGTCATGCACACTCCTGGACAGGGCCTTCCCTGGCAGCTTCCAGCATAACCCTGGCTGATGGCAAGATGTCCTCTTACAGTCACAGGCCTTTGGGCAGGGATGTCTCAGCACACGTGTAGATAATGCGTAGTGAGCCCCCTTAACGTGCCAGGATGCATACCAGGCAGAGTGGGAGATTCCGGCCCCCAGGATGAGATATGAAGGGCTCATGCAGCACACCTGACACCCACCTGTGTACGTGCCCACAAACGCACAACGGCAGGGCCACTGGGGGTCCGGGGGAGGAATCCCAGGACTCCTGGCTTCCTGTAACATCCATCCTGGGCCAGTAACACAGCTTTCGTACTCCAGGCTTCGGCCCTAGAGCTCTGGGAATCCTTTCCTCCCTGCCTGCCCCATGGAGAACGACCATCAGCCCACAGATCTGGTGGCGCTGCAGGCTGAACCCCACGGTAACAGTTCTGTGAGGGCAACTGCTGTCGAGCCAGCACCCCAGAGGCCAGTCTTAGCCTCCACCCTCTTTCAGTGACAGGCCACTTACTACAAGGTAGCCCATTTGGTGACCCTCTCAGTCACCTCACCCCGGGGGCCCAGAGGGGCTCTGCATGGTCAAGAACCCCCCACTCTGGCAGGTAGGGCATATGTAGCAGAGGCAGGCAGCTGTGAGCACGTGGAAAGGACACGGAACTGGGAGTTAAGACCCGAGTTCTACAGCCAGCCCTACCACTGACTGACTCGTTCTGTGTCCATGAGCAAGGCCCGCAAGCCAGGACTCAGGTCCCATCTGTGAAATAACCACCCTTGCCTCATAGGAAAGACAGCTTTGAGAATGCAGGGAGGAGGAGGATTGTACCATAAGCCTTGAGACACCCTGCCCTGAGGCTTTCCCTTGGTCACAGGAAATGGAGTCAGGTGGCAGAGGTGACAGTGATATTGCAGGCAGCCTCAGCACCTCCCTGTCGGAGGTGGCCTCATGTTGCAGCTGAGACACTCCCAGAGCTCCCCGCCCCTGAAACTCAGCCCCACCCAGCTGATCTGCTTCCCCTGTCAGGGTCAGCTTGATTAAGCCAGTTCTTGGGAGGCCCTGCTCCTGCCCCCTATAGGGGGCCTGGGAAACCTACACCTTCAGCCTGACAGCTTGATTGGGGTGTGTTCTGTTCCCACTGGCCTCAGCCACACCGTAGTGGCCTGACATGGAACGTCTAGCTCACTCTTTCCCTCAGTGGTCCAGGGCCCAGGTGGATCAGGATCATGACAGGGGTGGGTGCACTGAGGCTGGGGAGGGACACCGTGTGTTAACTGGCTCTCCTACTCTTCAAACAGCTCAGTAACAAGTCCCTTGACAGAGACACAGCAGGCTGGACCCCCTACAGCTATGTGAACATGTTAGGTCAGTAGTGGTTTGAGTCTGGTCTCCACCGTCATGTCCCACCCTATTCTCCTTCTCCCGTATTGAGAGGGACCCCGTCCCAGCTCAAAGGGAGAAGGTTATGAGTCCTGGGCATGGTTCCCCCACAGGGAGAAGGGATGTGGGGAGGAAACTCAAGCCCCTATTTTGGCTCTCATAAGAAAATGAAGCCCCGGACCTCCTTCATTTCTGTATCAGGAGATAGGGAGAGGGGGGCTATGATCCAGGGACCACAAGGGAGACAGCTAGGGCCAGGATGTAGGGATCTGGGGGAAGCAAAAGGCGTACTCACCATCTGGGAAAGGGACCTCTGCCTGATCCAGGTCCCACCAAGGTGCCCCTTTTAAGGGCTGCTTCCCTCTGTCCCCTCCCTGGTGAGTACCAACTCCTGTGGAGGGTGGGAGTGGAGGGTAAGGGAAAACAAGGCAGCTCTCGCAAATCCCCCTGCCCCTTTGGATGCTGCAATAGAGGCCTTGAGTCTTTTCAGCCTGCCCATCCTAACCCTTGCCCGCTCATATACTTCCCAGCCCCTTCCCCTGTCATACCAGGGCCCTGGGAATAATGGCTCCTCCCTGTCATTCCTCTCACTAGACTCCCATTTCCAGATCAGTGCCCTGGAGGCCAGGTACCCGCCCGAGGACTTCTACATTGAACTTAGACACCTCAGCCACCCCGCTGAGCCACACTCACCAGGTCAGACCCTCAGCCCTACCCCTAGCCCCTCATGCCAGACCAAACCTAGCACCTGCCCTACTCCCCATTCCTGTTCCTGGACCCACCCCACCCCCCATGGTCCCAGAACTCTCCCTGGTGAGCCCTCCTCCCTCCCCACATAGTCTACCAGCCCAATCTAAAGAAGGAAACCTTTCTGGGTCCTCATCATCCTCTTTGTCCCCATAGTGGCCACTGGGTGTGGACAAACTGGGGCTGCTCAAAGTGGAGGTGAAACAATATAACTAACTGCACCCCCTCCAAGCCCCAAAATACAACCCAAAACCACTGCGAAATGACTTGGGGATGGTGGTACCTTTGGGGTTCTCTAGGCCCTGTTGGTATGGATAATAGGGAGTTGGCTCTCTGGCTAAAATTCCCAGTGTCCCCCGGAGACAGACCCCAGGCCCACCAGTGGCCCAAGCCAAGCTCTCCCAGGTCATTGGGTAGGGTTGTAAGGAGGGATCTGCAGAGGCTGGGGCAGAATGTATCAACCAGTATCCTCGGAACTCATGCACTGAGCTCAAACCTGGTGGCTTGGGAGAGATACAAAAAGTCAGTCCTGAAATGGGAGCAGGGGGCAGGAGTTACAGAAGTAGGTGTCATAGGAATACGTGCAATGGATGGAGAATGTGTCATCCCTACAAAGTGGCTCCTCTAAGGCACCCTGGGGCAGGGCCTTAGCATGCTGGACAACCCTGGGCCTGAGCTCAGGCTCTAGCTGGCTTCTAGAAAGGGAAACTGAACAGCTCTACCAACCCCTACAGGTCCCCAGGTCCAGTAGCACTGGGGAAACTGAAGTTTCTGAATTCATCTGCCCATGGAGCAGGCATGGGCTGCATGGACCCCGGGCCTATACCCAGGCGGCTGTGTTCTTGGCTCTGGGTCTCCTGGACAGTATCCAAGGCATTTAATAACCCCACCAACCACAGTCTGTCTTAGCCACCCCCCAACACACACACAGCCTCCCCACACCCTACCCTGTATCTCTTTCCACATGGGAACATCCTCTGGGCTCAGGCCAGATTCCTCCCTGCTTTAGAGATCTCGCTCTTCAACCAGAGTAGCCAGAGCCCCACGCGCTGTCATCTTTTTGCTTATACCCAGGCAGGCTGGTGTCCAACGGGACAGAATACTTGGGGAGATCTGGGCTCTAGTTGCAATCCAACTTCTTACTTGCTGTTACGGTATTAGACAAATCACTGCAGCTCTTTGGGCCTGTTTCCTGTTCCGTAAAAAGGAGGAAAATCAACAGCCTTGTCTCCCTCCCTCGAGGGCAAAGGAAGCCCTTGTCTATAAACTGCTGAACTGATGCCAGCGTATCAACTGTTACAGTCATGTTTCTGAAGGGCGCAGGTACCTATAGGCCTTTTAGACGAATAGTAAACTTGAAAAACAACTTAGGCCTTGTTCTGCCATATCACTCGATAATGTGTAGAAGGCAGGCAGATAGGAGTAGACGCCTTAAAATTCAACTTGGGAACTCTATGTAGAGGAGGTATCTAAACAGCCACGAGTTGATCTTCAGTGTCAGAAACTGGGGGGGGAGTCAAGTGGAGTCAAACCCGTATTTTAGTAAACACTGTATGCATGCCTTGCCTGGTATTGTAGCCTCACTTAAAAGCTGGAAAAAAAAAAAATGGCCTTGACTTTGAGCCAGAGTCATTATAGTCCCAACCTGGAAATGCCAGGCAATTTCTTTTCTGGGATCACCAGCTAAGAACCTGAGCTTGGTCCCTGAAGCTTTATGTCCTGCCTCTGGCTGGGGGCTCAGGACCATACATTATGGGAGCCTAGGAAAAAAACCGACAGCCAAAAGGGAGAAAGAAATCCTTGGGGCTGAAAAACATTGGTAATAGTTTTCAAAGAGATCTCTCACTCATGTGCAAATAGTCCACCCGAGAGAATGGGTAACTGAGAAAGCTGGCTATGGATGGGAATGTCTGTGCATCCTATAACGATTACTAATCAAGAACCTCAGCTATCTGTCTACCTCTCCGGCTCCCCTCAGATGAGCCTAGGATCCAGGAGAGGAGAGGCAGGACCAGAGCTGAGAGAGGTGGAAAATGCTGTCTCCAAACCCATTCCAAAACTGAACAGAACTGAGATTTGGATTGGCACACAGCCTCCCCTCAACCTAAGAACTGATTCTGCTTCATTCCTTATCCTATACCTTTGGAACCTAGAACTTCACCTACAGCGACTGCAGGTCAAAGCTGCCTTTTAATACTTCCTGAAAGATATTCTCCCAGGGTAAAGGTTATAAAGGGAAAGGGTGCCAAACATGCCAGGGGGCGCTGTAGCACATCTTCATGCTTGTGAGCCTTTTAAGAATTCCTGTATGCTCAAAACAATTTAGCGTAGGTTAAGTCGAGAATAATTTTTCTAGCAATAAACAACTATTTTCTGGGTAGTGGAGAAAGGGGGGGAAAAAGCAATAAAAAAAGCAAGAACACGAGCAGTCCGAGTAAATTTCGCCCCCGTATTTTCTTCCTCATATGTTATTTTTACACAGGTGCTTGTGGAATGGGTAGACGTCAGAACACATACATTATGGACAAAGGCTTCAAAGGTAGAGTATCCAATCCCGATGTCTTATTACGAAGGGCTTAGCAAGATAACGAGTGCAGATCTGCAATGTCCAGGAATCCTGCCTGAAAGAAACTGCACACCCTCCCCTAAAAAAGCTAAAAGACCAGAGGGCCTGAGGCTGCTGGGCAGCTCTGCCCAGGAGGGGCAATCATAGTATTAATGAATTCATCTTGATTTCAGTTGCACCTGCTTAGCAAACACTTGTGGGTTTTTTATAGATGCCAACTAAATGTCTTCGGAAATGTAGAACGTCATTATCCAGCCAATTAGTACAAGTTAAATTGATTATAAAATCTGAAATAAAGTCAATCTGCCTGCCCCAGAGGCCTCTTGTCGTTGCGCTGGCGAGGAATGCCACCCTGCACCTGCTGGCTTTCTGGGGCACAAGGAATGAAAATGACACCCAGTGTTATATTGTATGGCACTCTACCTTCAAGAGATCTCTGCCTCCAAGAGCAGAGAAGCCAGGACAAATCCCTAACACATGGATCTGCAAGTGGGATCATCCCTCTAGCAAATCTACAGGTAAAGCCCAAGAGGAAAGTTCAGGTCCTACCCCTGGGCTTAGGCCCTAGGTTTAAATTCCAGCATATGTGAAATAAGGGGCTTTGGAACTCTGTCATTTATTATCTATGACCCTAGACTGAGCTCTCCAGGGCTCAGTTTCCTCATCTGCGAAGTTGGCATATGCCTGTCCTATTGTCTAATGCCTGTCCTGTTGTCTAATAAGGTTATCATGAATATCCAATAAAATCAGAGATGGGAAGTTATTTTTGCATATTGTAAAGGTTGTACTAATGTAATGGGGCTATTCTTTCATCTCCAAGGTCTATTAAAAAGAGTTGAAGACAACTGAAAGACAACTGATGGCAAAGGCCTCAATGGATGTCCTAAATCTAGCTGTGTACCAGGATCGCCTGGAAGGCTTGTTAAAAATACAGATGTTCACACCCAGTCTCCTCAAGATTCTGATGCAGTGTATCTGGAGTGGGGCCCTGGAATCTGCATTTGTGTCGAGTACCTCAGGGTATCCTTATGTCACTTATTACCCAACTATCATTTGGAAACCACTTAGACTGACCCAGATTTCCCTAATTGTTGTTCTGGTCTTTCAGACTTAGCCTGAGATACACCCAAGACACAACCATTTCCTAACCAAGGACAGCTGGTTGTCTACAGCCCTTAGAGAGATCGTCATTAGAAGTGAGGTGAGGCCAGGCATGGTGGCTCACTCCTATAATCCCAACATTTTGGGAGGCCCAGGTGGGAGACTGCTTGAGGCCAGGAGTTCGAGTCCAGCCTGGGCAACATGGTGAGACCCCCCCATCTCTACAAAAAAAATTTTTTTTTAAATTAGCTGGTCATGGCAACACACACCTGTGGTCCCAGACACTTGGGAGGCTGATTGATGTAGGAAGATCAATTTAGCCAGGAGTTCGAGGCTATAGTGAGCTATGATTGAGCCACTGTACTCCAGCCTAGGCCACAGGGTTAAGACCCTGTCTCTTAAAATTTAAAAAAAAAAAAAAAAGTGGGTTGGGCTAAGGGCAGGGGATGGTGGCGAATATTGTGTTCTGAGCCAGCAGCAATAACAGTGAGTCACCATCAGCACTCATTAGGATATACAAAGCCCAAGAGAACTGTCTGAGGACAAGAGGTCATCCTCAGCTTCCCAATAGACACGAATAACTCCCCTGCTGGGAGCATTATTCTGGCAATTTTCTGTGAGTTTTTACTTAAACCATCCAAGTGGAGGCAAGCAGCATTGTAGGAGGTGAGGCTGAAAACAGAAAGGACAGCTCTGCCATTTCATGACTGTTACCTAGGACCTCAGTTTCTTTCTCAGAGGTCTGGGGATTGGGCAGAAAGATCTCTAAGGGCCTTTCCAGCTCTGAGACTATTCGTGACTCAAGCATGAATAAGCTCAGCCAGGCCCAGAACCTCAGTATATGAGCACAAAACTTTCCTATGCACTGTGTTGTCCTGTGCACTGGGACAACAATAAGGGTGGTTCCTTTCATATTCACAACCACAAATGTAGTGTCTCTGCCTTGGCGTCATTTCATTCCTGTGGTATGGGATCATGTATCTGACCTCTGGGTGCAGGGAAGGCCTTAGCAGGCAGGCAGCCAGATTTTATTTCACCACTCTGGCTCTAGTCATCCTTTAAATTAGAGAGACGAGAGCTGTGTAGACAAATGTACCAGCAGGTGTTAGGGACCAACACATCGGAACAAAAGACTTCAAAAAGAAGAAAATGTCATGTCACAGTTCAGAACTGTACAGAAATACTAAAGACATGGAATAAATCCCACTAACTGGCTAAACTCCCAAATAAACATTTAATAAACTAGTTTGTACCACAAATGAAATGACTTCCTAAAACTACTGGGCCAAACCAAACTAAGAATTAAGAGTCTAAGTGTTCTTTGAACTGAATGGGAAAAAGCCCTGGCCTAGAGTTGAGAGATTTGGGATCTAGTCCTAGTTCTTGCTTTGTGGTGCCGATTAGCTCACAGCGTTGTTTCCTGGGTCTTGACTCCCTCTATAAAAGGACAGGGTTGTACTAGCACCATCTCTAAGGCCCTTTCCAGCTCTGACATTCTACAAGTCTTAATTCAGTCAGTGCCTGGTCGTTCCCCTGTTACTTACTGAAGAACTCCACTCACTGTCATCCTGGAGGTTAAGTGAGACTACGTAGTGAGACTACGTAGGCTGCTCAACACCTTTCTGTCTCCCCTTCTCCCACTCAGGACAATTATTCTGCAACAGATTGCCTCTTGTGTAATTCCTTGTCAGTCAGGCAACTCAGAATGCTATGGAAGAAATCCTCCCCACTGCTCTCATCACCTTTATGCTCCTGGAATCCTTGAGCCCCCTGTTACTGCTGCTTTCTCCACCGGTGTGCTCCTCGATATCCAACCTCCACATCTCTCCTCTCGCAGTAACCTTGGGTTCTTAAGTAGTTAGGAGCCCACTGAGATTCTGAAAATTCCTTTTTTCAGCCAGTGTTCTCCTGATCCTGAGACCTCCTCCTCCCTCTCCCCATATATCCTTGTCTCTCAGTCAAGAGAAGGATGTTAAATTGCAGCCTGGGAAAAGAAAAGGTAGTGTGGCCTTCTATTAACAGTAGCAAGAGAGCCCAGGCCACAGTAGCACATGCCTGTAGTCCCAGCTACTCACGTGGCTGCGGCAGGAGGATCTCTTGAGCCCAGGAGTTTGAGTCCAGCCTGGGCAACATAGCAAGACTCCGCTTCAATAAAAAAAAAAAAAAAGCAACTTAAAAAAATAGTGGTGAGGGCCAGGTGCGGTGGCTCACGACTGTAATCCCAGCACTCTGGGAGGCCGAGGCACGAGGATTGCTTGAGGTCAGGAGTTCAAGACTAGCCTGAGCAAGAGCAAGACCCTGTCTCTATTAAAAATAGGAAAAAAAATTAGCCAGTCAACTAAAAATAGAAACAAAAAATTAGCTGGGCATGGTGTCTCCCGCCTGTAGTCCCAGCTACTCCGGAGGCTGAGGCAGTAGGATTGCT